ACTTAAGTTGCCTTTAAAGTTGAGAGTAAAACTCCAAAGATTTTGAAAAATCCATCTCCCCTATGTTAAAAAAGAAAAGACAAGAAAAGAAAAAGATTTCATTTCCCCAGTTAATTTTGTCACGGATGCTTTTAGATCACAATTATAGCTCAATGTTGCTTGGTATAAAATTGAAAAATTATGAAAATGAAATTAAGAAACTTCTTTAGAAAGAGAAGAGGATGTGTTGTCTTGTTTTTATTCTTGAGTTTGTATTGCTTTATAGTTACAATTTAAACCAAATTAGTCGTGGTTTTGTTTGAAGGAAAAGGAGAGCAGAGGGAAGGGAAATGGAGGAAAATGGAAGGATAGGACCGTTCCCCACCCCTTCTCTTCCCTTCTGTCATTAGAATAAATCCCTCTCCCATTTAAATGTTTTTGCTAAGTAAATAAAAGAATTTTCACTCCTTCCTTCATGTTTCCTTCCCTTCTCTTGAACCAAACATAATGTAGGAGATTATTATAAAATTAAAATGTTACAATAGTCAAAGTCCAAAGAAAGATGAAATATACATTTTTATGAACATTGTTCGAGTCAAAGTCCACTTATACGTTAATATTATATCAATTATCAACCGTTAATTTTTATCCCTTTTTTTCGTATATATGATGATAGGTTACATAAGAGAAGATAATTCTTTCATTTTTTCAAATCTCTTCTTGTTTGACTTAAGATTCAAATATAAAATTTCCAACTTAAAATCTCAACTCATAACTAATTGAGTCACCTTTATCCTTAAGAGTCAATTTTCAATTATTTAAAGTCTATTAGACTAAGAGGTTGATATTTTGCAATCCATCGCACACAAACTACAAATACCTCAACTCCATGATCAACAAAATTTGTTGCTGGCCCCCACAAAAACTCCATGTCAATTTTCAATTATTTAAAATTTGTTGGGACTAATGTTTTACCATCCGCATGATACCAATTGCAAAACACTTCTTACTTTTTTTCATATTACTAAATTGAAAAGTGTTTTTTTAGATTAAACTATATATTAAAAATATAGCTTTAATACTAAAATTACTAAAATATTTTAAATAAAACTTTTTCTTATATTTATTCATTAATGGTAATTTAATAAATTCAATAGAGGTATTACATTTTATGTTAAAAAAGAATAGAGATATTACATTTTTAATGTGTAATTTAGACCGAAATACAAAAAACTCTTACTACATATTGCATCACTTTTAATCCTAATTCATTTTCAACCATCATTCACTAAATTACGATGTGTAATATTAAATATATTACTAACTCAACTAGATATAGCACCATCATAAATTTATGCAAGACATATATGAATAATCCTGCCGATCAATATATATATATATATATATATATATGTATATGAATAATCCTGACTCGTGTATTTAGTACTACTTTTCAGACTGATTTACGAAAGGGAAAAATAAAAAAAGAAGAAAGAATGGCTTTAAATATGTATAAATTACTGGCCAAAAAAAGTAGGCAAATTAAGGAAACCAATTTACAAGTATGCAAAGACCCAAGAATCAAAAGCCGATGATCTCCAAACACATTTAACTCCTACAGCACTACTGTCCTTTGCAAAAAAAACCTGTATCAAATTTCATTTCTTCCAGTGGATGTACAGAAAAAAAGAAGAAGAACAAATTAACAGAAAATGTCACTATCTACATTAACCAATGAATTGCTACCTTTTCTCATCTTCCAAATTCTGTTTAGAAGGCTTTACATTTGGTGACTCAACAAGTCCACTGCTACTGGATTTTCCAGGACTGTTCTCATCACCATCCATCTCGTCTGGACCCTCCACACTACTTTTCTCTTCTTGATCACCACTATTCGTTGAGGGTTCTTCGCAGCCAACAGAATTTGTCTGCATAACATGCTTTGCAGCATTACAAGAGTCGTCAATACCACAAGGGAAGAACATTGGATTGGAAACAACAGGTATAGTCTCCTTCCCAAGGGATGTAAGGGATTCCTCATTAGAAGATTCGGATTCTACAGAAATGTTCTGTTCTGTAGTTTCTGATGTTTCACTTGGAATATTCTTTGATCCTTTGCGGGAAAGAACATGTTTTATTGTGCTAGCAGACTTCTCAGCATGTTTTAAGATACTCTTTGCCATATCCTTCATGTTTTTGCTTGGACTTTCTGGACCACCTCCCTCAGGACTTAAACTTCCTTCTTTTGAGTCCTTACCAGAAGGAGGCCCTGAAAGGCTGTCCTCTAGTATAAATTTCACATCAACCTCCGTTGCATTGACTGCTCTAATGTTTGCATGTGGTGATTGAACGACCTCTCCAATGCTGCCTGATTGATCATCCTTTCTCGAGCTCCGACGAAAAATCTTCCGTAAGCCCTGACGAACTCTATTGCCTGGATGCTTTGCATCAAGATTTTCATCAGCACTGCTGCTGTCATTAGTAAGGGATCCAGAAGCCGCTGCCGTGGTACTTTCAAAAGAATCCTTCGGCTCTCTTTGGATCAAGGTTTCAAGGAGTCTAGTCTTCCCTTTTCTAGGCTCCCAAGTTTGTGACACTTCACTACCTGGCTGGTGAATCCATATGCCAGTCTTTTCTTGTCCTTCAATGTTTATAGGTTCAAAATTATCCGGTACTTTTCCAGATTTATCCGAGTAGACTGAAGGCAAATGACCTTTATCAGCAGTTTCACCCCCCGGCTTCTGTATATCTGCCTCCTTTAATGTTTCACCATACAGTACATTAACATTACCCTGCATAAGTTATCAACAGGCTATTTAGAAATTAAAGCATTTAGGCATGTTAAATAAAAATATTCAAGTTGCTCGAACATTCATTCACTAAGAATTGAAACTTAGAGGTAATTACCATTGCTGGATCTTTAAGAACAGTTATGGCCAAGCGCAGCCTCCCTGTTTTGATATTCTGAAGAGGCAACCACATGTCATGTCTCTGCCCATCCCTAAGGTCATTGATATTTACAGTGCATTTGCTGTAGATAGAAGCAAAATCAGTACAGATTCAGAGATATGTATCTCTTCAAGAATGTCAAAGAGAATTAAGTGACAAAGTAGCTATTATAAATTTTAGGAGATATACCCAAGAGTATCATCAACAAAATGGTCCTTGTCACGAACTTCAATAGCTAATAAATTGGGTGAATCCCATGTACAAATAGGGATCATAAATTCCTCAAGCCATTTTGGAGTCAACGTTTTCCTTTGTGTAATAGTCCTGAATCTGTAAGGGCCTAGTTGTCCCTTCACATAGGGATCCGCCAGTCCTGATAATTTATATCCAATTATTATACCACATAAAACTGGATGCTACACAGAGGCAAGATGAGAAATCGCAGTTGAAACTAACCATTTAAATCTGAGGGTTTCACGTCAGATGCTTCAACAACTTCAACTTTGGCATAGGCAGTAGGTTCCTTCTCATCAACAAAAAACCAATTTTCTGGTGTGCATATAAATCATAAACGGTAACTTTTAGCACATGAAAGGAAATGAAGCAGGATACTTATGCCTTAAATGTACAAAAGCCAAGCTATTAGCTAAAGAATTTGGGCCATCAAATCTAAAACACGCATTTTCAGTTGCAGAAAGTTTCTACTCATTCCATAACCATGACATGCTATGCTAACTCAGTTTAATGGTCACAGTAGACATTGAAGAAACAAAAGCAAACTAGTTTTCTAAAACAATTTCAGGAAAAAGCATTTTCTAAAACATAATTTTGCAAAGAATGACTCAGGGATAATGAAAGCATGGATTCTTGCCAGTAGGAAGGTGCTACATGAGGCTTGCATGAATATCCTCAAAGCCATCAATAGATTGAAGGGGTTAAAATGTATGTAGGTGAACACATTTTTATCAGCCATATAAACAAACTGAACTAGGAAAAATGAGAAATAAAAGAAAAAAGAGTACTGCCTTAGAAACGCAAGTCTTCTTTTCACGCAAATTACCTGGTTGTGGTGAAGCGAATTTCTCAATATCAACAACAAGCATATTGGGCTGCAGAGAGAATAAACATTTAGATAAAAGACAAACCCCAAAGGAAGATGCAGCTGGCATCTAAAACCTAAGTGAATCCTGAAATGCAAATATTCAGTGTTTGAATTTGATAAAGTATCAGGGATTAAAAATCTTAACCTCAACAAGTGTCTGCTCAAACGCAATTGAGAGAAGTTTATCCTGATCAAGAAAAAGAATTTATATAAGATTAGGAAAAAGAAAAAGAAATATGAAGAAGCTGCCATTTAATTTATTCTCACAAAAAACTTGGAATGCTTACCAGCCATCCTGCAATTCCTGGAAGTTCAGTAACATCAAGCCCATGTGTAAATATAGGTTTCACAGTCATCTGGAAATAGGGTGGCTCAGCAAAACACACACGCAAACGGCCAAGGAAAGGCCACTGTCGGAGAAACTTCACTCCAATCAACACCTTCAAGACAAGAGGAGACAAAGACATGACTAAGAATATAATAAACCGTAAGTTGCAGTAATTTGATGCTTAAGTGCTTGCAGAGGCTGAGATGGGGGATCAACTAAGTGGTGCTACTACATCTTGAAATTTACAAAGGTCCAATACTACATAAAAGTTTCAAATTCCAGATGCCTCTACATTAACGGAGAAAGTATGAATTTGCTCTAAAACCAATGTAACAAATTCCACTCGATTTTCAATATCAACTAAATATATAAAATCACCGCTATATTACCAGTTTACTGCAGAAAAATGCCTCTTATGTAAGATAAGCTGCCTATCCCAGATTTAAGTAAAAGGGAAAAAGCCTAAAAATGATTGTAGAAAGAAATAAAGACAATAATTCATACTCGATATCCATTTAAAAAAATGTATCAGACTAAATATAGTAAACAAGCAAGAACACCACAACACAGAAGACACTATGATAACTGCAAATTAGAAAAGGCACCTTCCTTGAGTAAACAACAA